CTTTTGTAAATCATAGGAAAGTTATCCAGGTCACTCTCTTGGTTTGTTATTTGTATATCCTTTTTAATTATAAAGACATCAGCTGGTTTCTTTTGTATGTCTAGTGTAGCATCTTTTTTCATATTATTCTTGTAGCCTATAATTTTTAAATCCATTTTCAGATCAGCCTCAATCTTATCAAATAAAACTTGTTCCTCTTCCATAACATCTTTTAAACACAGTCTATCTATAGAGGCAGGCACTCTTAAAATTAATTTCTGTGCTCGTTGTTCAAAAATATCCTTCAGTATGTCCAACGTTAAAATATTGTGCTTCATTCTGTTTTAGTAAATGTAAGTGTTCTTCTTATTTAATCTTTAGTTCCTTCTAGTTCCTCTAGTGTCCAACCTTCAATGTCTCATCCTATCATTTTTTAAAAGAATTCAAAACAAAAGCATTTTCCAACAGGAAGGATTCTTATAATTAATGCCAAAATCTTATTTCAAATCCATCTGGACCCTTAGTCCATTGTAACTTTCCAAAATCAAAGTTCTAGTCACCCATTTGCTGTTTATTCTCCCGCCCAACATTTTTAAGTCCTTAAACTTGTATTTAAAACTTCTTTCACTAAGGATTGCAGGAAACTCATCTGGTGTTTTCAAATTTGTCAATATAAAGGTTCCTAATAGCAGAAAAGCAGTTAACAAGCAATTTCTGAAAGTGATTAGAAAAAATTATGCAAACCCAGTGTCCTTAAAGGCACTGACTGTGGTTTTAGCAAGATGGCTATTTCCTCATCTCCCAGAGCTCTAAGGAGCAACTGTGTGGAGCACTTGTGAGCAATCTCAACGTCTCTCCTTGTCCAGAGGAATTAGGAACAGCTGGTCTACTCACCAGCTCTTCATTCCACTGCAGTCATCTTCAGTTCACCACTTCTTCCCCGAAAGTCCCAATATAAATATATATTTTAATCTATTTGGTTTAAAATGTAATAAACCAACCCACCATTTTCTTATATTTTGAAGACAGAAATTAGATATTCAACTATCAGACTTTTTGTAAGTGAATTACTGGTAGTACTATAGGAGGAGAGGCATGTTATACTATGGTAGTGAAAAATCAGGAGTCTGGTGTCCATAAATGAGTCCATAAATTCTTTTGCACAAAGTCTGACCTGTTTATCCTATGAATAAAGGGGTGTTGCTGACAGATGATGGCTCTTCTATATACACAAAAACTTATGCTTTTTTTAAAAAAATGTGTTAGTCTGAAAAGGGACTACCAGACTCCTGATTTTTGATGGTACTAAAAAGCCTGGAGTCAAAATCAGCTCCTGATAACAACTTGAACACATCTTATGTTGTTATCTTGATGACATATGGCAGTGGTTTGCCACTGCTTTCTCCAAGAATGTTTTTTCCAACTTCCTAGCCTAGCTACAGCCCTACATTGTCCTGGTGGTCTCCCAAATACTAATCATATCCAATCCACCTAGGCTTTTTTAACATTAGTACAGGTTGGCTAGGAACTATCACTTGCTCTGACTGGGAATATTTATTTAGGACATTGCTTAAGAAGAAGTGGTTTTTGCTAGCCTTTAAATACATATAAGAACCCTTAATTTTTTCAGAAAACACCCAATAACTGATTTAGCCTTTAGAAGTTCTAAATGGTGGGGATATGAAATCCAGATGATTTGCCATCGCTGTCCAGCTCAAAACCTTTCTGATGATCAGCAACCTTCCAAAAAAGTACTTGTGCAGCAAGGGGACCCACACGAGGGCAGACAACAACATGGGTGCCCAGATGTTTAAAAGTGAACTCTGCCCCTTATGTAGATACATGTGATATCACAACACAAGTACAAAAGGGCAAAGCATGCATTGTGACATCACAGAGCATGTTTCATTGCTTTGGCACCATCACAGTAAGGAATGGAGGCCCATGAGTTGCACCATCAGAAGCAGTATCAATTAAAAGGGAACTGAAGAAGTAGCACGCACCTATAGTCTGACTTTCCAGTCTTGCATAGATCCATGTTCATAAGCATCAATAAGATGCCTCAGTCCCCTCAAAATTAATCTTCAGCTGCCCATTTTTACCTAAGCCTATTTTTCAAACCCCAGAATCAGTTTTATCACTTTCATTTCCATCCAATCACCCTATGGAGGCTGTGGATCTCAAATCAGTGTTTCAGATGGATTGGATAAAACAAACTATGATATAATCTAGGTAAGATGAAGGTACGATGGTACAAAGAATGAATAATATAGACAGAAATTTACAATTAATTTTAGATGGAGTCGCAAGACCAACTTTGCCACTTAGTTACATGGTAACTGGGGAAACTTAGGTCATGGTAGTGGCCAGGAATATATTTTACAAATGGAAGCTACACCAGTTGTGCCCCTTGATTTCAGTAAATCATACACAAATGAAGTCCACAGTAGAAGGCTGTAATGCATTCGATGTAGGATTACTTTCGAATACTTCCTGGAAAATTCAGTTTGTGCAAAATGCTGTTGTCTCCCAAGTGTCAGAGGGAACAAGGCAACTAGAACATGCAGCTTCTAAAAGGCATCTTCTAACTTTAAACCAAGCTGCTTGAAGGACTCATACCAGTCAGCACAGAACTAAAGATAAGACCCATTCCTACCAGTGAAGACAGGCCCAAAGATCCATTTGTTCTCTCAAACTTACTCATGATTTCTTGTTCTGCACTGGATTATTAATTGTAACTATCTTATTTTAATATAATGTTGCAAGTTCTAACTATGGATGTGTGTCAAATTTATCAATATTTTATTATACTTTTACTGCCAAACTTCTTTCACCCCTATGTTTTTCCCCCTCATAAGCTGCCTTGAGGGAGTTTTTGAAAATGGCCTACTTCAAGGGTCATTTAATAATACTGACTCTGTATAGGATGCTACAGCTTTAGTGCTTCCTGTGTAGTGACTTACAATGGTTTAGTAAGCGGTGGTCTAGGAAATATTGATATCTGACTGAATTACACAAAACCAGGACTTTTCAAAAGCTCCTTTGGGAGGAGAATGGGAAAAACTGGCCTGGGCTTACACATGGAGACAGCAACATCAACAACGGCTAACAAGAGAATACCCAGCATAGAGTGGTCAATTTCCTTTATTATTCTCAGGCTTGGTGCTCCATTCATCTACAGACCTTGGGAACATTTCCTCAAGGAATTTCATTACATTTGAGGGCAAAACCCCTCCTTAGACAAGCTGTTACATTCTACATATGACTTCACGGAACCTTATAGAACGGACAAGATACTTAACCTTGCCCTGAAATAGTTTATACA